TCATTATGCTTTGCAACAATAAGGTTATGAAGGTCTTGAGAGAGCTCTTTACTTTTATTCATCATCAGATGGTTCTTGTGTGATACCATCATTTGGTTTCTGAACCAGCTGATATTAATTTGCACTGACAAGGGGCAGGCTTGTTTTCTAATTACTGAGAGAGTTCAGCTGGTGTCTTGGCTTTCCATGCCTTTTTACACCTCCCTTTCTTCATGTGCTCAATACTTTTTCCCTGTGCCATTCCACATTATTACAAATAACTTCATTTCTGGACATTTATGGTTTGATATCTTTGTACGTATGGACCACTTGGGTTGTTACCGACATCTGGTGAAAATTTCATGTCATTAGCACTTCTAGTAATATATTTACTGAGAAAAATGTTGACATGTTCAATACTTATTTTACCCGCTGTAGTTACATAATAAAAAATGTGACTCCTCTTCACTGAAACTTTGAAATAGTTCTGAAAGTTCTCCAAAGGTTACATTGTAAAAGTTCCAAGTCAGCTTAAGGGAACCATTTGGGAACATTCTCGGAATATTTTTTCTGAAATTACACTGTGAAAGTTTCACTTCATCTTCAACCAAACCACATAATATAATCCTAACATTTTTGGTGCATTGTTGTGTTGAACACTTCACTTTTTTTCCTTTCATCAGTTGCCCCTTTGCCAAGGCAGACCCACCAAGCCGTGGCCAGTCTGCCCTCGCTGCCTCAGAAAGACAGCCTCTCACCTTTTCAACCTACGGGCGACATGCTGGTGGCAGTCGTGGCCATGGTTACAGCCCTGGCTCTGACTGCGAGTGTAGGTCTCACGCTCGTTCTGGGGTAAGAGACAACAAGTGGGTGGAGAAACACCGAAGGAGAGGTTTACTGGAACGGGTGGAGATTTAATGAGTGACACAGAGGAGAGTCAAAGATGAACGAAATGATGCTCGTAGAATGAACCGGTGGGATTATTTAGCTTCTGATTTGTTACCTTGATTCAATACTGTTTAGTGTAGTTGTAACTAATCCAATTAAGTTTTTGTTTTCCTGAAATAAAGTGACGTTAATTATTCAAACATAACAAAGCAGCAAGTTTAACTTTGACTCAAACTCCCTTAAAGAGAAAACAATAGGTTGCAGATGAGATTTAAACTTTTTTGGAGTGACTGTGTTTTTTGTTTGTTTGTTTGTTTGTTTGTTTTTCTTAGAATGATGAAGCGTTGGGAGCACACAAAGGACCTGAGGAGAAGGAAGGCGATAAAATGTACACAGGCTGCAGTGTGATGAGTACACTACATACAGCCACATTCCACTTTCAGATGAGAGGAAACAGTTTTGCTCATCAGTTTCTTCTTTTCGTTTTGTGGTCTATTAAATTCTTTACTTTCAGGTGTTAAGTCATGTGTGGCAGTGAGAATAGGTTTTGGTCAAACGTGTAAATGATGCTTAAACACGAGGAGAGTTTTAACTTGGATCAAATATGTTAATTCTAGGACAGACTGTTCCTGGTATTTATATACGGCAGGTAAAATAAGTATTGAACACGTCACCATTTTTCTCAGTAAATATATTACTAGAGGTGCTAATGACATGAAATTTTCACCAGATGTTGGTAAC